CCTTGGAGTTAATGCACAGTAGCTACTGTACATGTTTGTCAACAAATTTTGTAGTGAAGTCACAGATTCAGATGACCTACAATAGCTACTAGAATTGTCAAATGATAAAAAGGGTTACCGAGCACTTATAAATTTGTCCTCACAAATACAACCCTCTAGTGGGGACATATCTGATATGGGCATTTTTACAATCCTGGGCACTTTTCAGATTTTCCCACATATTGCTAATTAACAAATTACATACAAATGATCAAAGGATTCTTTTATCACTATGTTAGAGAATGGTGTAAGTGAAGATAAACACTGAAAATAGAAACCAAATATCACCACCGAGTCCGAAGTTATGCTAAAGCAAAGTCCGAAAAATGACCAAAAAATTTTCCCGTTTTAGTGATATGAAATAAAAAGCAACCTGAAATAAATTAAAACAGTATTTGACATTGCATTTTTTTGGATTATAAAACACTCAGTAGTATGGTGGAAGCAAAAAAGTATAAATATTAACAAGAGAGAGGTGTATCCTAGAAAAAAAAGTCTTTTAATGGCATGCTGGTATTTCCGTTAAACAAAAAGTCCATTCCGAAACAAAAATAAATTACTTTCAGAAAATATATCATAAAACATACAGTATAATTAACCATACTAATCATTATTTGGATGTATTGGTATTGTTTGTATCAAATAATGAAATCTGCGCGATGATCCTGGAGCTTGACATGGAGTGCAAAATAACCCTACTGTGTTTTTCCGTTAAATTTGTCCATTCCGAAACATTGGGTTTCTCTTACATAAAAAGAACATGTTGACACCTAGCCTGTAACAATATATATTTCTCTAAAGCCCAGGACATGTGATATTTATTTTTATATAAGAAAACCCCAGTGCACAGAAACACATTTAATTGTGGCCTTTTTTGAGATGCTTGTTAAAAATTGTCCATTCCGAAACAAAGTACCTTTACATTGCCAATGTTATAAACAGAGAGAATGCTGTCTTTAATGCTGAATGTTTCACTTGACATAAGCAAATTACTGTTAGAGCATCATGCATATGACATCAAAATAATAGAAAAACATTTCTTCAATGGCATCTTTTTAAATTTCTATATATATCCTCAACAAAAAAATTCATTTTTGCGAGTCAGCATCTTTTCTTTGGATCTACTAGAACTTCCATTGCATATTTTCCCAAAGTTCATGTATTTCAAAGTTGAATT